CTTTTGCAATCGCCTTATAATTTTCAGCCTAATGGCACCTTGCCTCGCGCTTCCAGCTTCCAGTTGCAGCGCCAGCTTTCCGAAAAGCAAAGCATCGATTAGGCCGTTGGCCTCAAGGACCTGTGGTGTGTTCTTGCCCTTGTGCTGCTGCTCTTGGAAATATCCTTTCAGGATCTCATCAACAGCAGATACACCCGCCTCATCTGAAGCCACACCCTCAATTACCAAGGCTCCTGCTCTCAGGAGCTTGTCTCTATCATCATCTGACATATCTGATGCACTTGTCAACGTGTTCAGCAGCCAAGACAGGCCTGATGTAGCTCGACCGATATCAGAGGACTCCGTGACACTGGCTCTACTGCACAAGGCCACCAGCGCTTCAGCACAGTTCGACACCTCTGGAAAGGCTTTGGCAGCCTTTCTGTTTGCGGTTTCTTGTGCCAATTCTGCGGCAGTCTTCGGCTTCTCTACATCTGGGAAATCTGCTGCGTTAAACACTGGAGAAGCCTGCTTCTGTCCCAATGCAGGCCTTTGGGGAGCTGCATAGCCAACTGGTGCCCGTGGAGCAGGCACAAATTTCGGCTTAGCTGCTGCTTGCAGGGAGCTGGCTGTGGCTGCTAACCCCAACGGTCCCCCTTTCGCCCATGCCCCTGTAGCTGATCCCGACGGAGCTGACGGAGCACGGCATGGAGCTGAGGCTGCAGTGGCTGGTCCAACGCCGGCTGATGCAGAGGCTTCTGCCGCAGCACCGGCGCCCTTGGACCATGCTGATCCAGCGGGCTTCTTGGGAGCAGCAGGAGCTGGTGCCAACACACCCTTCACATCGACCTTCTCGCCGCCAAACTTCTTCTTTACCATGGCTTTTAATGGCAAGGCGAAGCCCTAATGCAACCGCAGTTCCAGTTTCAAGTCGTGTGATGTTGTGTGTCCAGCTGTGCTGCCAACGATGCGCGCCCGTTACCGTTGCAGCTGCATTAGTATCCACATGATTCAACACACAAGACGGCACCGTCATTGGCGATGGTGACGGTGGTTGGTGGTTTTAGGATGAAGCTGGTTGTGACAAGCCCCTACCACAGTTTTGAGACTTCGCGCATGGCAAGCTGGAAGGTATTTCCAAGTTATCCCGGCTTGGGGCACCAACTGCACGAAACTACTTGCCAAAACAGCACTGCTTCATCATTCGCGCAAGTTGTCTTCTACCTGCTCTCTTGTTTTCGTGCACCGCATCGAACATATGCTCGTTTCCGCTTCATTGCCGCGGGCTGCGTGATCGAGATTCCGAGGACCTGAGGCTCAGGTACACATGCAGCTGGTCGAGTGGTTGCCGTGCCCGAGGCTAAGGATCCATCGAGCTGGAGCTTCCAGACTTTTGCTTCCTCGGGCTCGTGTCACAAGCCTAGACAGGATTTGTATTTCTGGCTGCTTCTCGTGCCTCGGGTCCTCTGCTTGGCCCAAGCTATCCTGCACCACAACGCACTGCTGGTTTGCATCTACACAGGACAAAGAGTCAACTACAGTAAGTCACTGCCCCGCCGAGTCCTTGCCAGCATCGTTACATCGCCCAAGGAGCTCGCTGGAAGGATCCGGGCTAGTGAGCGGCGTGGACATAACCTTGCGTGCAATGTCCGGCGACAGGGCTTTGAGTGCATCCTGGGCTTGCGGGGAGACGATGTGGCGCGCACAGAAGCTCGACACATGATGGCCATGTTCCCAGGCTTCGATTCGGTGGATCCGACTCGTCACTTCGAAGGAAGGATTGGCGCCAATAGGGCCCTCGTCCATCACGCGACGCTGTGCGTCAGGAGCCAGCTGTCTCAGGCGTCTCTCGACCACCGCATCCAAGCCATGTTGACGGCAGAACCAATCAACCCTAGGATCTGCAGGCGTTGCGGCTTTGGCTGGAACAGGATCGCCCCAGCTCGCCCCAAGAGCTCCGTTGGCGGGTGCCCCAGGCCCCAGCGGTGCCCCGGCAGGCTGGCCCCAGGCACTCCCAATACCTTCGACCTGCGAGAAGGCGCCGACGAGGCTTAAGGCGGCTCAATGCACATTCCCGTGACAAGACTCTGGTGCCTTTGGCGTTGGCCCTGCTGCCTTGGGCGGCAGAGTCTTCGCGCCTGAAGCCAGGCTGGCCTGGGTGCGCGATGGTGCAAAGCTTTACACTTCCGAGTTCAACAACGTCATTCGATCCCTGCATCGAGCTCCTGACGGCAGCGCCGTTGCCTCAGCACATACACCAAGTTCCAGCAATCTGGGCCTTGCTAGTATCATAGTATCTAGGTGGGCAGCTGTCTCCAGTGGGGGCGTCCTGAGTTCAAGGCAAGAAATTGTACACCCGAAATTCGACGGCTCTGGCTACATCTGGCCTTTGTGTCGGGATGCATCGGAGCTGGCACCTGGCATAGGGTGATCAGCGAAAAACAGAAACATTGAAAGGTCTCCTGGCAGTGCCAACCTTGGCAACTGGCCGTGGCGGGAAGTGGGCTCCTGCAGTGCTACAGTGCTGATTGTAGCCGTCTCGCTCCAGCTTGTTCAATGCCTGGGTGTGGCCCTCGTCCTGGATAAGGCGGCCAGGGGTAGGCAGGATGCCCTGGGCATGCGCTGGAAATGTCAGCAGGGCTCCAGGCGGGAACTTCACAAGCTGTAAGGCTGCCACGATGTGCAGGATGCATGGGCAGTGGATGTACCGGGTGAGGATGTCCCGGGTGTGGGTGCATTGGCAATGCATGTGGATGCACTGGGTGCGCTGGACGAGGGTGTGGGTGGTGAAGAGGCAGGGGGTGGGCAGGGTGGGGTGGGTATCCAGGTGGTGGATGAGCGAAGCCTGGCTCCAAAGACTGCTGCTACAAGGACGGTGAGCACTCTGTCAGCTCACACTCACTGCGCTTGAAGACTCTAAACGACTTCCTGTGCCTGGTGGGCCAAAAGCCTGAGGCCTGTCATGCAGCATTGTCATGGGTCAGAACGGATGTTTGCAAGGAGGTGTGTAGGCTCCAAACGCTGGAGGATATGCAGGAAGATGTGGAGCCGGGGCCTTTCCTCAATTAACCGGCTGCTGATCGCATGACTCTTTGGAGCGGGTTACCAAGGCTAAGCTCCCGGCCAGCCGGGAATGGCGGATAGGCTGCCTGTGAGCAGAGTGGTCCAAGTCGCACACCTGTCTAAAGCACGCCCTGCGCACCTGTGGAGGGTAAGCTCCAAACGGGTAGGCCTAGGAGAAGGCGCGGCAGAAGGGAACTGTCATGAGGACGTGCAGGTTTCCAAGCTTGAGGCCGGCGTTGGTGCCTTGGGTGCCTGAAGCAAAGCTTGAAGCCATGCGAAAGACCGCAGTGGCTTTCTCCGGAGGCAAGACTAACAACCCCTGGCCTTGGGCTGGGAAGAGTCCCGCCTGCGCCTGACTTGCAACAACAGGGCACAAAGCACCGGATCAATATCATTTCGCCTGCCATGCCGCCGACGATGGTGCCGAGATGCACTTGCGCTTGCCTAGCGATTGTGAATGCAAGTGGGTAGTAGTACATAGACCGATTTGCTACTCACGTCCATTGATGGGCAAGGATGTGAACACGCTTTCTCGTGTCGTTGCTGCTACCGGCTGCAGGGTGCTGCAGCTAAACCTCTGTGATCCTCTGTGCAGGCCTGACGGCGCCGCCGGTCCCTGCTGCGGGCCTGCCACACAAAACGTAGCTGGATCACCTCGGAATCGATTAGAGCCCATTTGCATCGAGTGTCCTTCTCCTTCTCACGCTTGTCCCGCTGCTTGTCTTTGGTCTTGCCTTTCCGCCTCCGGCCACAGAGTGCGCACGTTTCGTGTTTGAGTTGTTGTAAGTGCCTGGAAGCGGAGGAGCTGGAGTGGGATCGGCTCCGAGAGGCTGCGGCTGCCACAGCCACTGCCTCCGACTCGGTCAGCTGAACCGGTTTGCCGCTCAAAGAAGGAGAGATCGAAGGTGGTGCCATGCGCAAGTTCCCTTAATGTCGATCTATTCCATAAAGCGTGCATCATGCTGGGCAGGGGGCTGCCTGAACCGGCGCTGGTGGCGTGCTTGCCTTGTTGAATCAAACATCCCGCAACATCGCAAAAGCCAGCTGCCATGAGCCACCCAGGCCCAACCGACCACGGCGCACGACCACCCAGTCGACATGATAATGAACGAGGGTAGCAACGACGGGAATCCACTCAATGCCCCACCCGACATAGCCGAAACTGTTTGACCCGACCTAGGGACCAAAGTGCCAGCAATCCTAAGCAAAGAAGATGAGCGAGCAAGGCCCTCAATTTTAGTAGCTTGGCATCTTCTTGCAGTTTGTCCACCGCTGGCTAAACGGCAAGTGTCTCCCGATTGCTGGTGGCTGTGCTTGTCTGCCTCACTGGGTCTCGTTTGCATCTGATTCAAGAGGGACCGTCCGTAGCTTTGTCTCCAGGATGCTGAGGGCGATGCGCAACAACTTGAGTGATGACTGTGCTTAAACCCCGAGGCCTTGGCCACAGGAGCTGGAACCGCCTGAGCTCCTCATCGATGCTGATTCATATCGCTGGGTGTTACTTGCGTGCCCCTACTTGACCCACGTTGAACCGAGGTCTTTTGCCTACCTTTTGTATCGAGGACAAGAAACGCACGCACCTCAGGCTACAGAACATAACACCGCCGTTAATAGCTTACAATGGGGATTCGGCATGTCATGAGAGTGCGATTTACCGTTATGCATGCATGCAACCCTCCTGGGGCTGCTTTGGGAGCTGCTGGAGTTGCGGCCGCAACCCCGACTGCATTCCTTAACAAAGCTTCCGGACAGAATCGGCGAGTCAGATCGGAACTTTTTGTGACAACAGCTCGGATGCAAGCGATGCTGAAGAGGAGCTAGACGACGAAGAGAACTGCGTGTGTCAAGGTTGGCTGTTCTGGCCTACTCAAACTCATCGTGCCCAACAACAAAAACCTGGCTCAAACTAGGGTAGACCCAGGCCAAAACAGATGGCTATGCTTTGCCAGCAGCTGATTTCAGACGTCGCACCACAGCTCTGCCTCGTTGTCAGACTGAAGGGCCTCCCAGCGCAGACTGCAGCACTGTCCCGCGACCTCGCTAAGTGGTCTGCAGGCCTCTGCTCCGGGCCTCAGAAGGCGATGTCTGACTTTGGAGTTCATACAATCTTCTGCGGAGACTGGGATCTCTGGCGGCGAAGGCAACGGTCCGCCGGGTCGGAAGGGATCGAAGCCTTCATGAGATCAAATCAAATCAACCGATTTCAAGTCTAAGATGTCTCAGATGTCTAAGTCTAAGATTTTCCAAGTACCAGGCCCCAGTCACGGATGCGCCTGCAATGTGGTACACTTTCCTTTCATGCCCACGACACACATTCACTACGGCCCACCATCGCTGCTTGACGCCGTTCGGCAAGCAGTGCAGCACCTTCCACCGGAGGTCTTGGCCATGCAAGTTGTTCTCTGGTTCGCGCTTTGCATTACTTTGCCTCGCTCGGACCAAAGGTGAGAGTGCCACCAACGCCAGTTGCCTGCACCGAGAGATGCATTCGGCAAAGAGCTCCCCTGTTCCCATACGAAGCTCTACTCAATTTCTGCGGCCGAGATCAGAAGGGTAATTCCTGTACCGAAAGTAGACTGACTAACCCACGGGAAAACAACACTGCCCACGCACTCGCATCGCAGCGTGCAACATCCGAACTTCAAATCAAGTGACCGTGGTCGTGGCCCTCGCTCGATATCGAAAACCACCGAACAAGCGGTCTGAAGTCGTCTGACATCGACTTGTGCCCAGAATTACCTAATGGGAGCTTTATTTCGACTTGGCATACTCTTTCCGTGGCCTTGCCCTAAAGCCGCCTTGCCTTACTGAGCACCAGCTCCAGTGCATTGCTGTGGGTCCATGCATCTCTTCCACTCTCCATTTCGTAACTCTCTTTTCCATTCTTTTCCTGTCTACATGAATGCCTTTCTTGCTCAAACCTTTCCGCATGCGAGTGCGGCAAGAACAGCCGCCATCACGTGCCTAAACAAAAGGCAAGGCGCTTTCAAAGACGGTTCTCAACGCTTTCGCATGCTTCCTTTGCGTACAGGTTCGGCTGTTTGTCTGATGCAATGCCCCGACATCCCCGGCCCTGCTGCTCCTTTTGGGCGGCCTGGTCGTAGATCAAATCGCCGGACTTGCTCTTTGACCAGACCTGAGGCAAGTTTGCATCCATTTCACATATGTCATATGAGCTTTCTGCCCGGCCTCCTCGCGGATTCGCAGCCTCCCTGGTCGCTCGATGTCGCCCCAAACAGCCTACTTGCTGCTCGCTTCGATGCTCTGTTTTTCTTCGTTCCATATGCAGCTTCACGCAATCGATCTTGGTTTCTGACCTCGTAGCGTGTATGCAGCTCCTCCCTTGCAGAAGCCTCCCAGCTTGCGGCTGAAATGTCTCTTGGGCCTGCCCTTGCCAACTGTAACCTCTGACCCTAACAATCAGCACGAAGCGTCTGAGCTTCCAACGCCACCCAAACATACTTCCAGCTGCTCCAGAGATCCGCAGCAGGTGCCCTGTCTTCCGCACGCTTCGCGAATTCAGACGAAGCTTCCCGAGGCTCGGGCGGAGGCGACTCCCTGGGGACGCGACGCTTTGCGCAAGCTCAGTTTCCGGAAGGTTGTACTGTGACATTAAAGTGCCCGTCTCCGACGGTCCTGTCCAACAGGCAGGCCAATCACACGCCCGAAGCGGCTGCCGCAGAAAATCCAGTAACCTTCCAGGCAATCAGATGGGAATAAAGCGGTGGACATCCCGTTGAATGTCCCGGAGCCTGTCCGTGAAGGTCCCACAGAAGGCTCTTCAGATATCAACTCCAACCTCAGGAGTGTAACCCTTTACCATTCTACGCGGCGTGATGCTTCAAGCGCCCGACGCTGCCATCGGACCCGAATGAATACGAGACCAGGCTTCTATGTACCTCTCTAGGTGGAGCATGCCAGTCTCAAGTTCGTAAAATCTGGTCTACAGAAGGGTGGCAGACTCATCACGGAAACGGCCGCGAGGATAACTCAACTCCGCAGCCATGACCTTTTTCGAACGCAGCATGTGCAATCCAGGAAGCTCGATGCAAAGCACCAAGCCTCCTTGTCAAACTTAACCTAGCAAGGACACTGTGCAGAAGTTCTCTGTGACTCTTGATGGCCATGAGCTTCCAGAATGACCGCAACGTGCCTGTGTGCAAAGAACCCGCCCCGTCGGTGGCCGGAAGTCAACCACACGGTGCCGCACCTCAGAATTTTAAGTGATGGCCACCCCTTACCTGGCAAAGGAATGGCCCAGGACTAAGCATCCGTGCACTCATCTGGCGGCCTCCGCTGACCTCGACGACGGAGTGGATCCCCGCACAGGAGGCCTGCCATGAGCTCCGGGCTTCCCGGACTCATTCGACCCGACCTCTTCTTCCTCTTCCTTTGGTCTCGGGCCGAGCCTGCTCCTTTGCGCCCTCCTGGGGAATCCGCACCTCCACGTAGACTCCAGACGGAGCCTGTCGAAACCAAACGTGTCTGCAAATTCCGAATCCCGGCCAGTCTGCAGACTGTGAAGAGTGACCGACAAGTGCTGCGACCAACAAACACGGCACGAGGGCTGAACTAGCGGCGATACTGACAGCATTTGCACCGTGCTGTTTGGTGATTTGCGCTCGCTGTACTCGTCTCTCTTTCCACAACCACCTGCTTTTCAATGCACATAACCCATCCCACCTCTAACCTGCACGATCAGCCCTGCAGTGAATGCATCGAAGCCGTCTAGACTCTAGACCTCTCTCCGTAAGTCTAATTAAACAAGGCAGTTCATCACTGGAAGTGGAGTCATGGGCAAGCCCCGTAGCTAAGAAAACACAAGCTCGCGAGCCTGCAAGCGCAAGGGACCTTCAAGGGCAAGCAAGATCTGTGATGTAAGTGAGCAAGCAGAGCCACCTTTTTCATCCGGCTCCTCGACGGTCTTGCCCACAGGCTCCTGGTGGCAAGCTTTGCATTTCTACATATCGTCGGCTGAACAATCGAGTGGCTTTGTTCGTCACTGGGCTCCTCTCGACGAGTTAGGGTCCAAGCTCCCACGTGCTCAGCGTTCTTGCCAGATGCTGCCTTGGGCTTTTGGCGTGCAGCGGCGCTTGATCAAGCCCTAAGGCTCAGAGCTGGACAGTGTCCTCTTGAGGTTTGGGAGGGCACACGCGGGCCTGCCAGCCAAACTCTTGCAGGGCCAGAATGTGGCGATCAACCCCGAGGCCAATGCGGCCGGGCCGATGGCATGCCCAGCGCGAACAAGCGCCACACTGGCTGCAGAAAGATCTTCCTGCAAAAAGCCAGCAGCGATGACAGCGGACCAAGTGTTCAGGGAGCCCTGAGTCCTCTCTGATAAGGAGCAAGCAGGGTGCCTGCAATCAATGCTGTCTTGCAAAGGCCCCACGTGGCCTGCGGTTTCCCGTGGCCTGAGCGGCTGGCAGCGCGCGCCTGGGCCAGGAAGCTTCACTCAATTCCACAGCTTCGTCTCTCCTGCCGAAGCATTCGCTGGGTATCCGGCCATCTTACCTTCGCCGATGACAGAACCGGAGCCAGTGAGGCCAGCACCAGAGCATCCGGCACAGCCCTGGAAAAGGAAAACATGAACACGATAGATTGCGCCAATGTGTGTAATGCAAAATGGGATCGTAAGATGCACTGGCTACGTCGTACTGCGATGTCAAAAGCAATCCGCGTGCCTTTTTGCGAAGGAGACTTCCAAAGCAGCCCAAGGCGTATCCTGGGCAGCGAGGCAGCTGCAATGATGAAATCAACTTCTGTCAGCAATCCATCGTCCCTGTGCCAAGAGTCAACGTTTGCTCCGGGAGGTGGGGCGACTGCACGCAATGCCGACTCCTGCTGTGATCACTTGCAAGCAGGCTGTCAATCAATGTCGCACTTTCTTGCAGCCGGTCCGGTACCACCACCGCTGTGGAATTGCAGCCGCCTGCGCTAAGAGCTGCGCAGCCTGCTTGGGCAGCTATGGGAGAGTTGGCACATGGATTTCGTTTGCGGCAGCAGTTTGCCTCCCTTAGCTCCGCCAGCATTCCGTGCTGCTGGCAAGGCAGTGGCCAGCCAATCCAGGGCCTTGCAAAGCGTCAAAAGTGCTTCTGCAAAACACATAAATGGCCGTGGCTTTTGTTCCACAGTGAAGCCTCTCCGCCTTTGCCGGGAAGCGAGACCTGAAGAAAGAGAGTGAAGTAGCCGCGTCATGTCATAAACCACCGAAGCAGAAACGACAGCTAAGCCACCAACCACTGCCAAGCTTTCGACGCCAAGGACCTGTGATCGGACGTGCATGCGAACACATACATCCCACAGAAACTTCTGAATTTCAACTGCCCGGAAACACGTCTCGCCCTGTTCCATTTAGTTACTTGCAGGTTTCGCCTTCCGAAGATTCCCGATTACTGCTAGCTTGGCATGTAGAGAACTTAGATTTTTGTAGCTGGCACGTGCTGCCAATACAAACTCCTGCTGTGGCAGCAACTCAAGCTGCGTTGAGAGCTGAAGTGCCTGCAGTCGGAATGGTCCCACCTTGGGAATGATGCAATTGAAACAAATGACTCGACGCCGTTTTATGGTGTCTTCACAGCTTGAGAATGACAGCTGCAGGCTGCAGTCGTCAACTCCAAAATGGCTGAAGTTCAGCCACGCTGCAGTCATCTTGCGAATGCCTGTTTCGAGTCTCACTACACAGGTCTATGCAGGAATGAACACACTGGAGCAAGCCAGCCTTGCTAGGCTCCACTTGCAGGTGATGGCAAGGACACCATGGCTCCCAAGACATCATTCAGCTTTAGACAAATGTTGGCATGACTAGGCTGCATAACCCTTTACGGACTTTGGCGGTTTGGCGATATAGGTGGCTTCATATGTGACTCAAACCAGTTGCCCGTCTCTCTGGTCGTCACCTGCTGGGCGAACACCGTGGCTTTCGTCGGACGGGCTCCTCCTCTATCATCTGCATTCTAAGCACAAGTACTGTCGTTCACCTAAAACAGCATCGGATTTTTGCTGGAAGCAGGGATGGGATTGGACTTAAACAGATCGGTCAGCCGATCAGCTTGGAAAGGGCACTTGTCCTGGGGGGCGTCTCAGGTCCTCCCAGACCTTGGCCTTGTTGTGACGCTCTCTCTCTTCTCTGTGTGGCCTTTGCCTGTCCATACAAACATCTGCTCGGAAGTTGCAGGTCTCGCCGGTCTCGAGCCCTTATTCTATTGCTCCTCTAGAACAATGGGAAGGCCTTCACATGCCTAGACATGCATGGCGTCGATTGGTGCATTTATCCACCCAGCCCCATATTATTTCGCGATGTCTTCTGCAAGGACGTCAGGCCCGCGAATCCGTGATGGAGGCAGGGCAACAGGACGCAACGTCATTCACCATGCTGCGCTTCTTTTGTCTATCCGAAGCGGATCGAGCGCATTCCAGATGTCACCTCGGCAAAGCACCAATTGAAACCTGCCAAACTCCGGGCAGCACGGCTTCATGAGGCGCCCGCCGTGCTTTGCGACGGAGGCGCAGGGGGGCCAGGTGGTGGTGGCGCGGCTGAAACAGACACATTCCGACAGCCCATCGACATAGGTGCAGATGGGCGGGACAATAGACTGGAACTGGGACTCGGAGGTGGTGGTCCTGACGGTCCTGATACTCCGGGTGGTGAGGGACGTGAACCCAGCAAGCTTGGCGGAGCCGGCGCGAGTGCCGTGCTTGGTCGAGATGGGGTTGGCGGTGACGGGGCAGGGGGTGCAGGAACCGCGGGTGCGGTCCCAGGTCGCGATGACCAATGGGACCCGACAGTGGGGGTTGGGACACGAGGCCCTGAAGGTGGCAAAGGGCAGGCGGAGGGAGGTGCGGGGTGACCAGGGACAGCAGGAGGGATGGGTGCTCTCGGTGCTCCTGGCATCGGCGGGGTTGGTGCAGGTGGCGCAGCCAGTGTTGGAGGTGCTGGTGCTGAAGGAACTGCTGGACTTGTGACTGGGGCCCTTGGAAGTGAAGGCCCTGCAGGTGGCAGCGGCGGGCGGGCGCCGCCCGGAGGAAGCGGTGTTGCTGGAGGTACGGGGGCGCCAGGGCACGGAGCGCTGGGAGGACCCGGAGCTGCAGGTAGAGGCCTCGACGGCACAGCAGGAGGCGGAAGGACTGCAGCCGGAGCCGGGGGTGCGGGCCCATGCCCTGGCGGTTGCGGATTCGGTGGTCTCGGGGGCTGGGGTGCTGAAGATTGGTATTTTGGTCGATCCGCTGCTGCACCTGCCAGTGCGGTCGCGAGTGACAGTAGCACGATGATATGGCCGCACGATGCCCAAGTCCCTGGCTCAATCGTCGAAGGAGCTCGCGGGAATCGAGCAAGCCATCCTGATGCCATCGTTCTGAGGAGCCAACAACTTCCGCACAAATCAGCCGGCTGAGGCATCGGCACATGCCGTGTCACACTGAAGCATAACCTCATCCACCTCCAAGCAAGATGCAGGTTCCGTAACAACAGGACAACACTCTCCCTACTCCCTCCCTCTGTGCGTTGGAGTGATTTGCACATCGGATCCGACAAAAACTTCAGTCCTATTCAGGCCATCTGGGAGATCAGCCTCTGTGTCTGACAGCTTGAACTGCGCGGCTCGCAGCCTCAAGTTGCACATGGTCTTCAACCTGCAATCGCACCTCGACTTTGCATCTCTCATTCATATTCAGCTGTGTCGCAGCTCCTTGAACGAATCCCGCGACAAGAAGCCAGACCTGCATGTTTCTTCTCACCAAGCCCTGCTGTGACATCTGCAGAGGCAAGAGGAGCTTTCAAGTCTACAAGGAGTCAGCGTCCGAAGACTGTGCTTCATCATCGACGGTACACCTGTAAATGGTTGCACGTTCCCGTACAGTAGTTGGCATCTGTTGCCAACGGCACTGTGCACCACCGCCGAAGAAGCCGCATGCCTCTTCCGGTCGTACACGCTCAGAGCCTTCTCTAAGCCTGAAGCGGGACAGTCAGGCTCTCCAAACTGCGATCGGCCGACGAGCTGAGCGAGTCGCTGTAGCCACGTTTGTGCAGCAGGCGTGCCAGCTGGGCCACCTTCACCTCGATCACCTCTCCAAGGTTTGGCTGATCCGAACAACACAATCTCTGCGACTGCGAGGTGCTAGTATGACTGGAATGTTCTGCCCCGCAAGGGTAGAGAACTCGGTGCATCTGAACTTTGCAACTGTGCAGTACTAAGTATCGTGGCTTGCAGCGCTCAATCTAAGCCAGTTCACAGGCAAACAGGTCCGGAATTAATCGAGACATATCAAGTCTCACATGGGGCACCGCCAGGCAAGGACTTAGGACGACTGGCTCCAGACCGCTTGAACCACATGAAGCCAACCAATTTGTCCCGCTGCGGGGAAGAGCCTGATTTGATGCATATCCTCAACCTTACTATCGCTATCGCTGATATTCTGAATATTCTCAAAATTCTAATGAAATACTATGACTACTACTGTTATTATTACATCGCAACTATTTAGTACTGGTATCATGTAGACTGGCCTGGTCCTTGCTCGGTTCGGTGTTCGGTTGGGCCTCAGGGAGAACCAACCGAAACCAAAGTTTCGGATTCGCGCACCCATGTGCATGCACCGCGGTTGTCGTTTCGGCGATGTGAAACATGGAAATCACTGCTTGCTACAAACACGCATCTAATTGATAGTCGAAGGGTCATCGACCAGAAGCCACAGGCTCCTGTGCATTCGCATCTTGTGTCGCACCAGCTGGGATTTTCAATCACCCAGCATCTCCGAAACTACAAGCTGCAAAAGGAATGAGACCGGTAGGGATGAGCCACGGGTCAGTCTACTCAACGAGGCAGCGGCGCGATCAGCTTCAATCTGCAACTGGCGCAGTGCCGACACGAACCTCATTTCGGGGATTTGGAACTGAAAGCATTCTGACAGTTGAGACGTCTGCTTGGGTTGTTCCGAATCCCAACTCAGCGTCTCACTCGTGAAGCATAACTTGGCCATCTTGGTCCGAATCCGCCAGCCGCCACAACCATGTCACGTCTTGCTCACTCAGGTTGGGCTCCTGTGTCAATGATGGCCGAACTGCGACGTTACACTTCACGAAATTTGGGAAATCCTGGGTCCGCAAGAAGCGCTCGAACTCCAAGGAGCTGAGGCAGCCGTTTCCATCCATGTCAAACCTTGTCAGATGTAAACAGCCACGAGAGGCTCACCCCGCGGCCCTAGGCATCTGTCCAAGAATCCGACTTTTGAAAGACCTGTTCTGGCCTCATAACATCGGCAAAACAGGCTGCTGAAAGACTTGGCGGATCTTAGATCTACATCAGAAACGGCATTCCCATGATAACATGCTGAGAGAACAGGCCCTGTCAAAGCAGCGCTCGCTGCTTTCGCCTCATTCCCGGATGTGAAATCGCAGCCAGAGATTCATGGAAACCAGCCTGCGTCATGCTTATCGTAAAAGACTATGAAGGTGAGGTTGTCTTTCCATATCTGAAACTAAGCACAGCGCGATTCGACGCAAGGCACTGAGGGCCCACATGTCCTTGCAGTCGTGTCTCTGAGACTTTCATGGGATGAACCCGGGACTTGGCTCCTGCCCCGGGGACCGGGGAGGCTCGGGGCTGTCAGGCCCGAAGCGCTGTACAAAGTCCGCCGCGTCGATCTGCACAGCTTTGGGTGGGGATCTCTCTCTGACGGACGCATAGTGCACCGTTGAAGATGCACAAGCTCAAGAGGTTGGAGGTTTTGCACTGTCAGCGCCTCTTCCGGGAGGCTTTGTCCCGGTATTGCCTGCGTTGCTCGCGCCTGACCGAGGAACCCAACTCCAAGCTCTGAGTGCAGTTTCCACGATGTCCTCGCACACGAACAACATAGTCGGATGCAGTTCAGCCTAGTGCCCTCCTATGGTAGCCCGATGAGCAAATGCTTGCTCTTCCATGTCATGGCCTGAGTCCTGCCATATATATATATATATAGGTAGTCTATATTTTGAATACATGTGGATTATGGCAACACAGAAACCCAACCCATCCCGGCGCCGTCTGCCTGCCCGAAGAGCCTGAGCAGCTCGCGGGCCTGTCGTGAAAACTGTTGGCCAGCTTGTGGCTCGCTGCGAATATACTTTCGAATTCTAAAAACACCAGATCTGATTGACAACAAATGCGACGTGTTCTCAAGAAATGTCGTTCGAAAAGAAAGGAGGAACTTGGGCCAGTTTCCCGACATGTCGAGCCATGTAACACCTTCGAGGTGCTTCTGTACGTACTGTAGTACTTTTAAGCTTGTCAATCCCTCTCGTGCAGTCTTGGACATGACCTGAAGCTTGAAGACCGAGCACACTCTCTACCAGACCATGGTGCGGAGTTCACATGGAACGGACTACTTTGTGATGACTCTGTCCTGGCCTCCAAGCCAGGCTCCACAGCTAAGCAAAGGCGCTCGAAGTGTGGCTTCGTGAGCTTCCCGCGTCGGCTGCCCCCACCCAGGCCTGACAAAAATCCGGGCTTATGGTCCGGGGGTTTTTACACTGGTCTTTTCCTAAATCATGAGCGGGAGAGCTAAAAACTACAAGAATATCCGTGTGACGAAACTTCAGCCGATGTTGGTGCAAAATTGTGTTCTTCCAAGCTGGGGAGGCTGCTGGGTTAGATCACGCCTGCACCTGCTGCCTGCCAAATGTGTCTGTATCAAGAGCCCAAGCGGCACGAACACCTCATTCCCACAGTGACATGATCTGATCCTTGAGCTGAGTACGATATGCAAAGTATCTCGAATCTCAGGCCTTCTAGGCCCAGGCTCTTGGACAGGAGCGTTGGTTCCAACCAAGCCCGGATGCGACCTCGTGAAGTGGCCATTGCATCTGCTACTGTTTGTGGCTGGGCTCACCCTAAACTTAACGGAACCCCTGGCAATTCTCTGAACTGCCACTATGTTACACCACGAAAGTTGACCTTTGCCGGGGCAGTTGAAAGCAGCTCGTCCTTCTTCCCTGTGTCCATGGAAATAGGAGCGTCCCGTCAGATCTAACAGAGTCTCAGAGTTCCCGGCTCGCCAATGCCCGTACTGCTGGAGACTGGATGGCCACAGAAGTCAGCGAATTCGCGTCGGGCCTAGGCAGTGCTTGGTGGCCAAATTTACGGCCGCTTGAGGCGAAGCCGCCGAATTCAATCCCAAAGCCTTACTAGGCCGTCAAGAGTTGTGATTGCTTTCGGGAGATGTCGTGCTCGTGGGCAGGGTAAAGTTACCAACGGAGCAGGCGCTGAACCAGTGAGGCAACTGCGCTGTGAGCCATGGGCTTGGTGCAGGTGTCCTTGGCTCAGAAAACCGAAACTCCCTGACGAAAGCCTGCTGCAACAGTCTCAGCCGTTGGCGGGGCAGGTGCCGGCAAGCTTTCCGGAGTAATGCCGAAACCTGGCCAAGAGCAACACTGTCGTGAACATTTCTGTGCATTGTACTGAAACCACGTCGGAGTTGTGGTGTTATCCCGCCGATTTTGGTAAAATTCTACTCATTCTACTCCATCTGAGGATGCGGCTGCGGGTGAAGTCTGCATACCCAACGCCGCCCCTGGAGGCTGACCTTGCCGGCCCGGAGCTTCTGCCTACCCTGAGAAGCTGAACCTCCTAACGCAACCCCCCGCGAGTCGACGTGAACACATGTGAACACGAACTTGATAACAAAACAGTTGCGAGATCTTGCCGGCTGGACGCTTCTGTGAGAATGCACAAAGTAGAGCGAACAAATGCCAAGCTGCAGGTGAGGTGTCTGAGGCCACTGCAAGTCGAAAATGGTGTGGGCCATGTGTTCAGGCATGTAGGGATCGGCCTTGATGCCCATGTTGGACCGAAGAGGAAGCTGTCAGCAAGTTTACCAACAAGTTTTCTGGTTTAAACTTTCCGGGTTCGAAGCTGTTTGCAGGAGGTAGGTGAACTCGGCCTTGTCCAACATGTTGTCGCCTTCGGGCTGTGTGCATGGGTCATGCGACAGAAACGCCCAGAACAGTAAGGGAACCGGACCATTGGCATCGAAGAAACCTCGCACATTGCAGGACACTGTTTCGGCCACTCTTGATCGATGCTGTATGTGTCGAGCGCTCGAAAAGCAACAGGGCATCGTGCGAAAAAGGTCAGCCAAATTCGCGTTGTGCTCCCTCCACCAAGCTGCCAGCCTGATGGCAGGACAAAGCGCAGGAAGAAACAAGCTGGCGTCTGGAGGCAGAGATGTTCGGCAAAGCTGCAATGCTGAGGGACCGACTGACTCACTTTGGCATTCGCATCCTTGGAGTGCACAGATATGGAGTGCTGCTGCTTAGGTTCCCGACCTTCCCTTCAAGTTTGCCTGATCACGTTCTAGCTTGATGTCGCACCTGCTTTGAGGTGTCGAACTGATTCGCCACCTCGCGGTAGTTCCTGAGAGCAGCACGACATAAACTTGCATACCACTTGTCAACCCCTTTCTGCATCTACTTACCTCCCTGTAGCCGATCGCGGCACATGAACCAAGGCCTCACACATGTGTGTGCAGGCACACGGATCAGGTAGGCTATTCTCTCTTGAAGCATACATGCATACATACATACATACATACATACATACATACATACGTACGGTACATACACACATGCGCGCACACGTGCATTGCACACATGCATAAGGCTAGAACGCCCCGACTACACCAACTACACACAAACACCAGTGAGAGCAGAAATTATCGATTGAGCATACACGCCTCTTTTCATACATGCACATGCATGCCCACGCACACACACAAACACAAAAACGAAAACACGCACACACACACACACGCAATATACATATATATATATATATATATGTACATATATATATATATATATGTACATATATATATATATATGTGCATATATATTATATATATATATATGTATGCACACAAACATGCACAAACACACAGACAGGCAGCACACGTACGTGCAAATGTATCTCGAATACGTATTTCCCCTTCTCTGGTATGCACATGTTGAAGCCCCAGAAACCTATGGCCTACGGCAAAGCCCACACTCTGGGGCCCCGCGCAGGAGGCCAGGTCCGGCGCTGCAACGCTGGAATAGTGCCTCTTGCTCGGCTGCGGTCATCGCCACTTGCACCTCAGACCAGGGGTTCTTACTGTTGTGGAATGAATGAAGGCAGGGGTGTTTAGAAGGCGATCATAGGCTTCAACTCGCATGTTCTGGGCATGCCTGACTGTCACGACACTCGCAACGATGCAGCGCGTTTTCCGCGCTTAGCGGCTTCGTCTAGCTAATCATCACCAGGCTCGACTCAGCAGAGACCCTCACCCAATCCAAGAGCTTCATGAAACCTGCCCGGTCCAAGGTTCCACCTTCCACAGAAAGGAGTGAACTTCGGTTCCTTCCGGCTCCTGGCTCGAGCCTCCGGTTTGGTCGAAGAAAGCAAAACCTTGTGCCAGGGAGTACCTGTCGAGTAGACAATAGACCGGGAAACGAAACCTGCCAGTAGCTGACGGAAGTGCTTCCGACACTCGCGACACTCTGTGATGCATGCGAAAGCCATGAATCCAGAACTTCCTGAGTTCCTGTGACTCTTTAAAGAATCCCGGATCCACCCGCTCTGCTGTAGTCGAGCTCGCAACTGCTCGACCCGCTCCTGTGTCATGCCCACAGCAGTTTTCACTCCGCCTACCACGGCTTTGCTTGCCCAGGCATGCCTGGAGATTTGCTTTTTACATCACAGCGGCTTGTTTCAATTGCAACAACACAGAAACGCCGCATTTCGGACTCCTTAACTTGATCGCCATAGACAGGGGTCGGGGCCGCAGGTGCAGTAGGCCTTGGGAACTTGGTCTCACCCTTCATCCGCACGCAAAGAGGCTGGGCATCCAGCGCGTAGCTGGCAGCTGGAGTAGGGACAGGGACCTGCTACCAGGCCCCCTTGAAACGAGGGCAGGGCTGAGGAATTCGGCCCTGTCTGCCTGTGCTTGGCCGCCGGAGCTCAGGGCCCTGGCCTGAGTTTGTCTACCAAAGTGCCGCAGACTCTTGTATCCAGAGACTACCTTTCGAGAGTTCTCAGCACAGGAGCACGAAAATCTGTTTTGCATGGGCGCAGCCGACTAATCTCGCTATTCGTGGTCATGCAAAATCAGGTTTCTGCTTTGCAGATCCTGCTGCTGGAGTATTCTTATCTTATTATCGTTTAGCATAGCACCGGGCATGTCTATCAAGGTGAGACTGCCTTGTGCGCTTGCCCCTCGGCTAAGCTCATGAGGGTCTCAATGTCCTTGAGATCACCTGAGCACAATTTTTGGTCTTCACTCCCGGGCAGCTGGGAAAACTTGGCTGGGTGTTGGCTACAACAGCTTCCCCTACCGACGCTTCCTGTACTCCCAAGGCACCCTTCTCCGTACAACTCGCCAATATGCGGAATATGTTGCTGCTTTCAACACGTTGCCGAACACCGATGCTAAGTGCTACGCCAACGAGTTCAGGGCGAGGGCCGGTCAAGTTTTAGGGGTGGACTGAAAGACGCTCATGGTGAGAATCAGGATCCAGGCATTCTCAAGTTAACGCAGCATGGGTTGTGAAGGCGTACGGGCGTACGAGACAGCTTCGCGCAGTCTGAGGCCCATGCGCTCGATACCATTCCGAAGCTCCAACGCCTGCACTAGACAATGTCGGGGGTCATAGCAGGAGCCATCCTCTCCCGCCTCCTTGTTGCGAGCTGTCTTCGCCTTGCTAGGCTTGGGATCCGCTAGCTGCTCGTCATCAATGACGGCGAGGCGAGCCTGAGTCTCTTTTGTTTCTGAGAAAACGATCCGAAAGTTGTTGTGTTGCCAGGCGGACTGGCTAGCACAAAAATGCACTCTGGATGCATTGTTGGAGCGAACTGACGAGTTCTGCCTGGCCCCGGGCCTGCTTGCGCTGCACGGCCCCCACGAGATCTTCAAAAATCTCCCGCTGTTCGCCGTCGAAACCATTCCTGGAAAGATCAAGCCGGCAATAGATTGAAATCATCCAAGGGCAGGTCGGGGGGCAGCCAAGGAGCTCATCAAACCTTCGCCGGTCTTCGCGACGCGTCGCCGCCTGTCCAGGCCGTTACGGCCAGATTCTCGGTGCACGAACCGAAGCATGCAGCAGCCCCCTCCCAACCAATATGCTTCTGTCATACACCCTCAAACAATTTTAGCTGGAGAAGGTTCTCTCCCAAGTCGCCCGAAACAGAATGACCGGCGATGCGATGAGGCAGGACAAATGCCTCTGCAGCACCGCCCGTTGGCGGGACGCTGCCAGGCTCCACATAACCCATGCTGCCCTTGGGCAGCATTCGGCCGCCACAGTAGCGGAATCGGTCCTGGTGAGATCGCCGGGCACGTCTATCGCGGCGTGTGTGCGTGTGCGTGCATGCGGGGTGCTACTTCGGGACCTGGGGACAAGATCTGCTCAAGGGGTGGCACTCGGGAAGCTGCAGAGGAACCGCTTTCCAAGCCTGCAGGTTCTGCTTCTCATGGTCCAGATCTTTGCCTTTTGGAAGGTCGGGCTGAGCACGGCGTCTGCGCGCCTCCTCCGCCTGTCGCCAGGTTCATGATTGGGGAAAGCTGTCGTGGAAACCCATAGAGAGCTGGTGCTCGAAGCCAACATCTCCACAAACAAAACTGGGTAACGCGACTGGGGCCGCCTCAAGCTCAGCGAAGATCTCACGAGCAGGTCTCCTTAGGAAGCGAAAAAGTCTGGAACCCTCTGGGATATCACTATTCGATGCGCTGCAGGCCCCCGACCTGCAAGGAATGGGAGGTGCAGGCCATTGCCTTGGGTCGTCCATGTCTCGCCTGAGCTAAGTCGCTCCTCTACGCACCTATCGCTCCGACTCGTGTGTGCATATTGTGCAACGCAAGGGCAACTGGATTAACGCCCATACTCTACACGAGCTATACAAAGCCTGAAACCACTGACCATCACGCACCACCTCCACACGCACGGTGCTGAACATTTAGCGGTGCATCTTACGACTTTCTCCACAAGCCTTCCTGTAAGCTCACTGATGTTTCTATAGACCACATAATGTAGATGAGACGGCCCCTTCATCAACTTGCACACAGACCTGTGGTCATAATGGAAGAGACGCAAAGGGCCGAGCTCTCACAACCCAAGGCCCTGACCTCGGCGCTGCTGCCCGAGGCACACGGACTACTGCCTTCGAGGGCTGTGTCAAAAGACCATGAGGCGTCTTGTGGCTTTGGATCGGTATCGATGCAACTGCAAGTGTGATGGCCATTCTCGGGGAGATCGTCGAAGCTACCAAGAGTCCATGTAAAACGTAGTATTGTATATATATATATATAGATATATATAGATTGTTGCTTCAAGTTTACTATGTTATATGACATTGTATGATCTCGCCTGATGTGTCATGTTCTGTTACATTTCTATCATGTTGTGTTATATTCTGTTGTATGTTGTATATACAAACACATACACATCCAAATCTATATGTACATGTGTACAAACTTGAAATCACTTGAAGCTATTTGCAGACTTTCACAGCCCCCTCTTCCGACCCAGGTCCCATTGCTGCTCCTTCGGAGCTGTCGGCTTTGCTTTTGGCGGGGGCTGCCAGCCTCACAGGCGAATGCTAGAGCTGAAGGTATGGCATCGAAGTGGGGAAGACATCCAAAGAAGCAAAACGATTTGAGTTCGACAGGGGTGGATCATCTCGGTGCAAGAAGGAACGGGACTAGTACTTTTCCTCCAGATGCTCGCAGGTTCGCATGATCCATGCAGGCAGTCAACATGTTCCGAGGCCCAAGCGCGTTGCTGGGGTTGCCAGCTGAGGGTAAGAGATCTTCGATCCCAGTTCGCGGCTGCCGGCCTAGGCCATCGGAGTTTACATGTCAATAAGTTGAACTTGATCGTCGACATCTGCAACAACTTACATTTCGCTTGCTTGAACAGGAGCAAACGACCAAAAAGAGGCCCTATGGCCTATGGGCAGTCCAGCTGGTATGGCGACATCAACTGCTTAGCTAGATCCAAACTGTTCCAGAGTCAGCATGATTTAGGCCAGCAGCTCCTTTATACAGCTTCCTCAGCATGCGTCCGGCCTGCCCAAGAGTCTTGGCTATTTTCGAGATTTCGGCAGATTTGGATGTAAGTGACGGTCTCTGAAGCATAGCCTGAGTTTTCTCCCGCCTCGGTGTTGCAGCCGAAATGCTTCCAGACCTCCAAGACAAGGCCGAAACAAAAACTTCTCAGGGCACATTGCTGTGGTACGGGGAACCTCCTTGCTCTGCTCGGGCACGCTGTAGTCTGCAGTTCGTGCCGTCCTGCCAGCTTCCGCCGAGGCTCTCATTAGATGCGTCCGCTTGACCATACCCGCAAATGCTTCTTTCAGACTGAGCCGGCTACGAACTCTCCGAGGGAGTTGCTCTGTCAGCGGATGGATGCTGCATGTTGGCAGACCTTACGGGTTTGGGATCACTTGTAGCATGCTACCACCAGCATCTCCCCAGGCCTCTCGATGGTCTCGACTGTATCCACTTCCACCACCTCCTCGTCTACCTCATCGACCGGTAACCTGGCAAATCTGCAGACGAAAGTTGCGGTAAGTTGTACATGTACCGAAGTCATGCAAGTGTGCAAACGAGTTTGAGCCGGCATTACTGCCTGAAAATCTAGGATTTGCGAGAATCGCGAAGCTCGACGCACACGTGCAACAATAAATTCAATGTTGAAGGCACGCATGTAGTATTGCTACAGATTTTCAACACACGTACCAGAGGGTTGTTGTGATAATGGCGCACGGGGCGAAACTCGGTGCTGGAAGTGGTGGCGTAAATTTGGTACAGGACAAGCAGTAGCGGCAGCAGTAGAAGTGGCGGTGTCAGCGGCGACAACAGTAGTAGCAGCAGCAGCAGCAGTGGTAGTAGTAGTGTAGTCCTCAAGCTGTTTCCTGCACGACCGCTTCCGACGCACCCCCTTTGTAACCAACTCGTGCAACATTCCTAGGGCTCAAAGAGTGACAGCATAGTCGTGGCAGCAGCAGCCGTTTCGTTGACACGTATCACTCAGCAGCTGGCATAGGCCTAAGTTAAGTTACACCTGTGGCATGGCAGAAAAGCCATCTTGTCATTTCCAAAGTTGCCGAAGGGCCCAGTCTCGGCTTCGTCCTCGTCGTCTGCACCATTGTCCTCAATCTCCGTCTCGACCTTCTCTAACAGTCTAACTGTTTATACTCGGACCAGTGTAAAATTCACCCCCTTGCACTGATCCGAAGCAGGGAGCACTAGCCGTGGCAATGACTACTGCAGCCGGTTCATCAGCACAAGCAGCTCGAATTGGAGCACGACGACATCGACAACCGCGCCGTAAACAAAACCAAGGCTACCGCAACGAGTAATCGCTCAGGCATTAACAAACACCCTCATAGCATCGCTTACCAGCAAATGCATGTCAAAATGAACCCCGAATGTTTGAACGACACGCGTCAACCACGAAATTACAGTTACTTACGCTAGTGGCCACGGCCCCAGACGTAAGAAAACATGAGAGTTTTTGGCGGTTTCTCAATGTGGGCCTACCTCGGCCGCTCGACCTGTTGGAGAGGAGGGCGGAGCAGCACAGGCCATGGCCGCCTCAATTTGTCATTGCCGGCAGGTCTCGTTAGACTTAAGTGTGGACCAAGGTGATGCAGGGCAGGGAGTGGCGAAGCCGCACCGAGTGGGCAAGCCAATGCTACCAAGATGCCGTTTGCAAAGCCAACGCCGCACAAAGGAGGGAACGTACTAGTTCATAGGTTTTGGCTTTACACCTTACTTACATTTAACAACTACGGGTCTGGTATACCAAAACATCATTCCGTGGCTGTAAGCATGACGAGAATAGCTTGCTGGGCCGGGCGTGGAAACCTTAATGCCCTTCTTCAATGTCTTAAGGCGTGGCGCATTGCGAACATGCTACTGATGCCACTGTTCGAGCCCAGGCTGCATCAGGATTCTTGTCCCATCTGCAGCCAAAACAACCGTTGCACAGATTCCGCTGTGTGTATGTGCTATTGCTGTTACACCTGTTAGTACCAGCATCATTCACCAACTATCTTTATGCGGTGACCCAACATGAATTTGGCAAAAGCGGCCTGGGCATCAAAGTCGAACTGTCTTGCCAGCTCGTAGTAGTTCAGCCTCAGTACGGTTTCAGCACTCACAACTGCGACAAGCCTGGCGAGGTTCCTGGCACGACGAAAGCGCAGCGTACTGAGGTTCAGGGTCTAGCGGTGGAGGGGTGGTTTTGCGATTTTGGTTTGGGATTTTGGAATTGGGATCTTTTTCAAGCTCATCTGAAACCCTTGTGAACAACTAGATCCTGGCTACAACCAGAAGCCGTTTACTACCGTCGTTGTTCTGCAGTGTGCAAACACTCGAAAGGCCGGCGTTGCGTAGGCATGCGGCACGATGAAGTCTTTGACGTTCTATGGCTGGTAGGTAGACACATGACTGGCTTCGAACGTTTCGTAGCTAAACGAGGTCAGAAACCTACAGAATTGTCATGTGCGATAGAACCAATTTCAATCTAAACCTATGCGCAGTAACGGGGAATTGCCGCATTCCCTGCCCCACGAAGCATCAACTGACATGCACTTGGCTGTTTTTCCTCACATAGCAGCTGAGACAACATGGCACGACCTGCAGGGCCCGGATCCAGCAGTGCGCTCTGCAAGGCAGATATCATCTCCTGAGCTATGGAAGAGCATGTTGTTCTGGGTTTGGTCGGACGTCGATGTTTGGCCCGGACGAGTTTCCTCTCGGTTCTGGGAAGTGTTGGGTTCTCATGGGGTGAGAACATGTGCGAAATCATGCAACAGGTCTTAACCGCTTGAACCGGTTGTTCCATATCAATCGGATCAAGCTCACAGGTACTTCCATTTACGTCCCATAACCCTTGCTTTTGTTGGCAGGTCTCACCATTTGTTGCTGCCTCCAAGCCAGGCGCTGCAGTGACCCGCAGACTGCGGGCGCAGGTTGGAAGCGCTCCAACGGGTGCGAGGTGAACGAGGAGAACCTCCGCTGTGCTGTGTCGGTTTCTCTGCCTTTCTGATTCCACCCCTTCGTGCCCACTACCTTAAGCTGCATCAGCGTACTGCTTTGTCGTGTCCCAAAAAATTGGCACCACATCCAAGGTTGATAGCTGACGTCCCTCATCCTCAACTGCTAAGAAAGCGAGACCATCAAGTCCCACAGGCCCAAAACTCCGCGGCCCCGCAATGTTCCCACGGCCATGCCAGACCTGCAGACCGGTGTCGGAGGCAGCCAAACTGAGAATCTCGTCATTCCTCAGTTTCTTGCAGGTCGGTGCTGTAAAATCTTTAAGGAGAAAGTTTTGTTCCCAAAGGTTCTGTGAGAAGTTTGGCTTCAGGTCGGTTGAAGCTCTGGAGCCTTGAAGTTTGCAGCCTCGCCGCAAGACTGTGGCCATTTCGGCTCCGCCAGGTTCAATGAGCAACTCAGCCACTCTGTCCTGTGGGCAACTGCAGATCTTGTGAGATGCGTTGGGGCTTTATGCTGTTATCCTGGTCGCCAAAGCATAACCTGCACCGTGTTCCGCTCTTTTTTGCGTCCGGTCTGCAGCGACTCTCCCGGGAAAGACTTGCAACACTTACCGAAACTGCGAGCTCGGCAAACGACAACCACGTTTTACAACTGCATGAAGTGTGGCATTCAGTTCAAGTCCGTGGCAGCTCCGAAGATCCGAGGCTCAAACCGCAGAATCTCACAATCGTGAGGACTGAAAATGACATGGACTTGCTTGATTATAGCTTGTGTCCTCGGAATTTCCAATGCCAAGGAGTGACCACAGGTCGTCATCTTCAGTAAGAGGCTGCTGCACACCTGCGTTGCTAGAGTTTCATCGGGCGCTTCGGAACTTTAGTCGTCATGCAGGCAAAGTGCCACCCTCCCATCTCTCACCCCATATTGTCCAAGCCTGGCAAATGTGCATCCCAAGTTCTTTCCCATGTTGATGACCAAGCGCTCGGTTGTTCAATGGTCACCCACCAGCACTTTGCTCACGGATGTAGCATGGATTTGCCGGGGCACTTGTGAGGACTGTACTTGTATGCTGTTTAGATACTTCCTCGTTGCACAATGTGTTGACAGACTGGCTAGCTGCGCCACAGGTCATGAGGCCACTACCATCCATCATCAATGACATGCATATCTTCATGTTTGATTGGCGTTCATCCACAATGCAAGCAACTGATGACATTTCATCATCATGTTCCTGCAGCTACTCACTTCCCCATACCGTGGGCCCGATGACCTCTCATGTCCCTGGTACAGGCTCAGAACTACTACAGTCAATTCAAATGATTTGCAGTCTGGCAGCAACTTCTTCAAACAAAGTCTCTAAGCCTGCTGCTGATTCTGCTGGGGCGCAGGGTCTGCCCTTCAAAAGTTATGTGGCTGCGTGCCAGTGCGACTGCGCTAAGTGTCAGCCAGGGGACGCACGGCGCGCTTGCCTGGGCGATGTTTTCGCCCTGCTGGCTCGGCCCTCGTGATCGCACAATGCAAGGCCGTCAGCAGCTGATGCTCTGTGGCGGCCTTTCTTCGGGACGTGTCGTGCCGGAAAATGACGACCGTCCAACTGTGTCGCTTCTGCTCTATGCCTTGCCCGCGAAATGGCCGGCGAACTGCCGAAACAGCGTCACCACCTCGGACATCATGATAAAGCATGCGCAAGACAATGTAGAGCAACAAAAGTTTCGACACCCGAAAGTATCCACAATGCCCACGCTGGGCTGCCCAATCAGTCTTGAGTCCTCTGATCAGGACCACGATCAAAATCTGAGGATTTTTGGAGACATTCCCCCAGCCAAAGCTTATGATTATGATGTGTTGCTTCCATGCATGGTCTTTTCTAACAAGTGTTGGCGGTGAAGCCTGGGATAGCGAGTTTTGCTTGGGCACCTGTTACGATGAATTTCTCGGCAAAGCTTTTGAATATTAGTGCCTTGTGCCCTGCTGTGCAGTCAAAGTGCCGTTCCCGGTCTTCCCTCTTCACCCCGGAAAGCGCAGGAAATGCTGCAGCGGTAGTAGGCACCGTGCCTCATTTTGTTTGGGTAACACAGCGCTTGAGTATGATAATGGGTGTAAGTCTCAAAAATCAACTTCCAGAACAGTCCAGAACCACATGAAGTACATTGGGAGCTGGTCACAAAACATCATGTTGAGGAGACGGCTGCTGAATGCTTACGGAGATGATGATGTTCGTGCCAGGGTGTGAGGTGGAGACATTGCCCAATTGAGTTCAGTGGCGCCCTCCAGAGTGCCGCCAGGCAGCAGCGTGCCAACCTTCAAGGCCGTCTTCTCGCGCTACTTTTGGATATCAGCTCTTGCGGAACAAGTCAGGTACTATGTAGAGTCCGCACATGCGAGTCTATGGCTCTCAGATTTCTCAGCGGAATCTAATGCGGCGGCCGATGCTGAACATAGCGACTACACGAATAAGGGCGAGCCTTTTCGACACACGCAGATCTGCATGAGAAGGCCGCATGGGCATGTTCGGCAGTGAGGGAATTTAGGGCACGAGTGTTCGAATGAGTTATCAGAAGCTCTCAATCTGCCAAGGTGGTCATCTGGCCCCCGACGAAGCATGCAGCCAAAAAGCCAAAGTGAAAGCACCCCCCCATTGTCACAAGAGCACACACTCATAGCGAAGGTCTGTTTCACTCAGGTTTTTCTCTATGTCCAAGTCCTCAGGGTTTCGGGCTTGGATTTTCAGCTTTCGCATGAGAAATGAAAACAGGCTGGCCCCTCAGAGAGCTTCAACTATTTGATCCATCATGTCAGAGTCGACCCAGCCGGGATGCAATTGAGCCCCGAACAACGTCATCATGTAACCTGAATCTACCCTGCACAACCAAAAGCCTGAAGGCTTGGCTTTCAATGCTCGAGTTTTTTTAAGTTCCCCGGCGAATCGACTTAGCAGCCAGTCATCGGGAGCCTGAAATCTCTCCACTTTCCGAATCCCCAGCCTCGACCTCAAGCAACTGAAGGGCGAATCTCGCCCATTCGGGCTTACAGCTGCCAGGCGACGCAGAAAGCTCAGCAGGCCAGTCGCCGTCGTTGGCCTGGAAGTCGGACAGCTTCAAGTCTACCTCGGAGACAGGCGATTATTAAGAGTACAACTTGCGTCAATGTCACAAGCCAGCTCGTGTCGAGGATTCTTTGCTCGAAGCTGAAAATTGGGTACCAGTGGCATGGACAATAAATCGGAGGCAGGGTCCAACGCCCGGATCCATTTTCTCGACCTTTTTGGGACAGGGCCAGCCATAGCTTGTCTCCTGCTGCGAATCGGGCCAAACTTCTTCACGTGGTACTGACATCCGTGCAATGGATTGAAGAAGAATCTACTGTACAGAGTGGCCTGGTGCAGCAAAGCTGGTGCCAAGCTCGACAAGTCGGCGTGTGTGAACATTGCAGGGCTCCTCAAGGCCCCCGTAGTTCCGGACGACAGGTGGCCGCCATGACGCGCTGCCCCGCCGACGGTAGGCCAGGCCCCCAACTATGTCCAAGAAGCCTCCACTGGCGTACCACAGCTTCAGCCGGCTCACGATTTTGGAGGTGAACTCGCCAGT